ATAATTTGTAAATTTTTTAATTCGAATGTTGATAATAAATATTAGAAATAAAGGTATATCTGAAATTACTTTCATTTTTCCCAATTGAGTTTTAAACAATTTTTTTTAGGTGAAACAACTGTCAAGTTCTCTTTAAGTCTAATATTTATTAGTTGCCGCTTTTATTCTTTATAACCAGTTATAATACATTCGAACATCAGTATAAAAAATTAAATATACTTCAAGTGACGAAGTAAAGTATAGAAAAAGGCCTAGAACTCAATGACGGGCCAGTGTGACGATTTTTTACTCGTCAATTCTTGCTGGTACTGTACGTCACCTCGCAAACGTATAACCCGTCTCGGTTCGTTAGCATCAGTAAGGTCTATTGTTGGGTTCGCTCGTGCATAGAACAGGATATTATATTCAAGACCTCGGATAATAAGATTCTTACCGCAATGACTGGCTCGCTTTTTGCCCTGCTCCGTAAATGTAGAAATAGAATGAGACTACCAGGCACAGTAACTGGTTAATAACTTTCCGTAATGATAAATATTTATTTTTCTATAATGATTATGACAAACAAATCTATGTTATATCTTTGTTCTATACATAAGTTTATTAATTATTGTTAGACATAAAATGAGAAGTTTACTCAAATGGTAAACAATTTTTTCAAAATATATTTTTTTAAGAAAATATAACAATATTACATAGATTTTTTAATTAAAATATTATAAAGAAATATTAATATTAAAACTCTAATTCATTATTATCTCTTATAAACGTTGCAGGAAAAATTCAAATTTATTTAAAAAATATTTATATGATATAGTTTTTTAATTTAAAGTTCTCAATATTTTCCCTGTATTTCATTTATCAAATATATAATTTAAATATAGAAAGTAAGTAATACTATATAATTATTTATTTTTCAAATAATTACTTTATCAAGTATTAGCAGCTACTAATATTAAATATATGTATATATAAGTGTAAAGGTTGAGTAAAAAATTTAAATTTAAATTTATGTGCATTTATAACGAAATAGCGTAAATTTCAATAATTTTTATAAATAGATTTACCTTTATGTTATACATTAAACTTTCATAAAAATATTATTGATTATTATAATTTACAGATCTCTCGAAAAACAAACATATAAAGTGTTAACATGTTTAATATAATAAATGCCGAAAAAATAATATCTGTACCATCGTAGGAATACTTTGCTATGGTGATAGGAAATGTGGGTATCCAGTCACACATTAGGGTCAGATTATAGGCATTTATGTAGATCTCAGATTACAGCATATATATATATATATATATATATATATATATTTAAAATTAGAGTATTACGAAGATTCTACTGATTTTATTAAACTATAACAATTCATGACAGAATGTATAACAAAGATAAGCAATCCCATGCAATTGTAACGATATAAATTAATGCAGATACTTGTATTCCCGTAGTTGATAGTAGTAATACAGAGTAAACTGAAGAATATACATAGTTTGCAGAATCTTTACAATATTTAGCTATTCAAATATATATCATAATATGCAATGATAAACTAATATTAAAGAAACTATAATTATAGCTTTTATTAAATGTAACAATTCAATATCTTTATTTTTAAATGAAATTGGACAGTCTGGTGTAACGAGACAAGTTTTTTCTAGTATCTAGGCGAGGCAAGCTACATATGCTTACGAACATATAGATGCTGGATTTTTTCATTTTTATTTCCTGTTATTTTATATATATTTATATATAATAAAACTAATAAATAAATAAATAGATAAGTAGCATTATTTTAAATTAATATACATTACACTGCCATAATCCTTGAATATATTTTAAGATTATTTTTGTTATTAATCATCATAATATAAGTTGAAATATAATACTCATTAATAATTTTTTTATTATTATTAAGTTTTCATTAAGAATACAATAAGTTAATGATACTTCTTAGATGATTTTATTTTATTTAAAAGTGTTGTAATATAATATTTTAATAAACAACGTAAAATAATCAATGAATAGAATGAAAAAAACCAGATTTTTTTATATATATTTTCATTTATTTTCGGCTTTGAAATTCACAAAAATTTATAGGTAACATAACGTATAATCGAGTGAATGAGCGAATTGTTTGTTCTACTTCAATGTGTACAAGTTTATTATGCTGATACGCATGATAATTCAATGAAATTTTTGCATTTATATGACTCGTTATGGCTCTGCTGCTCATTGACGATCTCCAGGGAATTATACTATTTAGAAGTTCAGTAAAATTCCATATAGAAGTTAAATAAAACCGTGACTAAGGTAGTTATCTACACGATAAAGAAATCGGTAAAACAAGAAAGTAAGAAGTCATAAAAGGATTAATTTGTAATTATTGAATTTATTATATACCTATATAATTTAGAATATTACTGAACTTTAATAATTTATGTTTGAATTTTACACATTAACAATATATTTGTTTTTTTATACCTCAAGCAATATATCTACATTTTTTATTAATTTTTTTACCTTATGTACAATTGATATATATTTCATTATTACATTAACTAAAACATTTTGAATAATTATATAATATGCTATTTTTATTAAAAAAATTTATTTACAAATTATAATTTTAAATAATATGATATTTTTATAATTACTTTAACGATTCTTTAAATTAATATTGATTGAAATAATAGATTCAATATTTTAATTTAGTATTTCAAAGATGATTTTAAATATTTATCACAATCATTAATGTAATAGTACAATATAATCATCTGCAATAATAAATAGATCTGTATCATAAAACGTTAATCTTTAATAATAACTTATTATCTTCATAGTTGACTAGTGTAAAAATATATTAACTCGATTCCTTGTATAATGTATTTTCTAAAACAAAAAATTAATGTAACATATAGCCATGGTATTTTTAAGTCGTTATCGTTACGTTATTAAATATTTTATACTATATATAGTTTTTCACCTATATCTAGGAAAATAAGAATAAATATAATTGAGTAGCAAATTGGTATTAAATAGCAAATAAATTAATAACATATAGAAAAAATGATATAAAAGTGTGTAAAATGTAACCAAAAAGGAAAATGGAGTAAGAAACAGAATAACAAAAGAAAACATATATAAAATAGGAAAAATCAACTTGGTTCCATTATAAGGGGAGTTCAGTATTTCTATATTTGCACAAATATTTGAACAAGTTTTATAATTAATATACACTTACAAATGATGCTATAAGGGTTGTGTAAATACTCTTTATACGCATACTTGAACAAATGAAACAGAGTCTTGTAGTTTATATTTCAAATATTTTTGTCGGTGATGACGCTTCTCAAGTTAAAAATCTATTAAAATTTCATATTTATATTTGACTGCATTTTAGTTTTTTAACAGATAAATGATTACAAGGTACTAAACAGTACTAGTTATGTTTAATATTTAGTGTCTTGTATTTCAGATCATTTAAATCCTAAGTTTTCTTGTCATACATTAGCGTTTTAATTAATATTAATAAGAAGAAATTTAATAGAGATACGTATATTAATTTTACTTGATAAAAAATTAACTGTTAAAAATTTTATGTTTAAGAATTAGTTGATTATGAAATATCACGTTATATTATGATTAATAAATCCAATATTTTTAACATTAATAAAATACATTAATTATATTTTTATTCATTGTGTTAACAAAGATTTAAGTATTTTGAGATTAGAATATACAAAAACATATGTTAAATATTAAACAATTTTTTTTTTATTATAAATAAGTTATATTCGATTTTATATTATATTAGTCAAGAATGAAAATATTAGAAAAATCAATTGAGAGGCCAATTTTTATTATAAAAATTTATATTTTCAATAAATTTATTAAATTTAATTATGTAAATATTATTTGAATTTAGTAAATTGTTTTCGTCATTAATAAATGTTAAAACTAATATTGTTACATAAAAATTTTATTTTATTTTAATTATTAATAAAGAATAATTGTAATTGCTAATATAATAATATTTTTAATGCACCTAGTCTCCTTATTATTATATTTAATTATTGCATTATATTATAATTTGATGTTTTTAATTTCAATTATTCTTCAACTATTTTTTATGTCCATGTATGTCAAGTTTTTAAATTAAAATTATACATTTTTAAATTTATATTAAAAAATATAAACGATGTATTTATTTATCGAATGCATTAATTTAAGATCATCGATAGTAAATATTTTTGAGTTATATTATATTATTTTTTTATATTCATTTTTTATATCATTTTTATATTATTGAAATGATGAAAAAATTGAATAATAAAAGTTATGAAATGATTCTTTTCATCTATAATTAAAAAATCTACAATTATACAGAACGTGTTCTTCAAACATTAACTTAATACATATTTTAATAAAAACTTTAAATATATATAAATTTATGAGATTTGTTTACGAGTTACATTTATGATACATAAATGTTTTATCACTTCTTCTACATTCTGTTTATAAAAATTAATATAATAGAATCACTAACAATTATTAGTAATTATGAAACTTATTTGATTTTATATAATTTTTTGCCCAAAATATTACAATTAAAACGAAGATATATATTTATAATTGAAATAATAGTTTCGTAATGTAAATATAAAATACACTAGCACATAATATAATTTACAAGTTTAAGTTGCAAATCTATACGTTTAGGATTATTTAAAAACTTATAAGTGTTATATAGTTTTAAAGTAATAATCAGTCTTCAAAATATTGTTTGAATATATTCGAAGAATTGCTGTAACGAAGGTGTACAATTCAAAGATTGGCAGCTAGTATTATTTATATTTCGTTTGGTCAATAGATCTCATTTGAAATTATTAATATTTCAGCATTGATTGTATTGGCAATATTAATATAAAGTACTATTTCTTAATTGTATGTTATAGGTTACAGATTTTAAGATGCTAATTATTTATTTCAGGTATGCTGAAAATTTTTCAAAATCACCACCTGTCAAAATTCAAAATTCAAAATTACTTTGTCAAAGTCATCATTGTTTTCTGTATCAAGTTCAAAATAACTGTAGCAAAGAGTAAGTATGTTTTTTATTTGCTATTATTTTTAATGAGTTTTAATAGAAGAGTAAGGGATAAATATTTTTATTAAAATTAAAATGAGATTACAAAATCAATTTCATTATATAGAATTTAAGTAAAATTTTATTTCTTAATTATTATTAATTACTTTGTAGTAATATTATTTGTTTTATATATTATATAACTTTGTTAAAAATAAATAATAAATTTATTATTACTACTATAAAGTAGAAACATTAAAGCAATTGTATTATATTTCGAAAAATATCCGTATTTTTTGTAATACAAATTTTATTTCCTAATGTAAAATACATACTTATTAAATACAATATATTTCGTCTCATTAAATAAACTATTAAATGATATCGATCTAGAATTTTTTTTTATTTTCGGTTTATCCGCATTATTCTACATTTTATTCTATTATTTTTAGTTTCATTGCATCCAAATGCTTATCTTGTTGCTTGTATGCTTATGTTTATAAAAATGTAGATTTCTAAAGTTCCATTTTCGTGATTAAGTTAACAACATCAAGTATCATTATATCAGTTAGTATAAGTTATACTCCGAAAAAAATGCTACCTTATGCATATTCAAGAATCGAATTTTAATTTTAAGATAAAAATATATAAAAAAAAACAAATTTCATTGGATGACTTGATATTTAGATAATGAGATAAGCATACCTTGATCTAAAATTTATTTTCATTGAAAGAACCCTACGTTATCATTATAAAGTTATTTATGTTTTTTATTTGAGATTAAAAAAAATTTTAGACAATAACAAATGTTTTAGGTAGTTTGTTTAATGTTTGCCCAAAGGATATCATTCATGAAATAATGCTTTCACAATGAACGTTTTTTAGTTAGATTTTGTATTAAAATATTAATTACAGAAATTTGTTTCTAATACCATTTATACTTTTTAAGTATAAACTATAAAAATTTTATATTTATGTTTAAATTTTTTGATTTGTGATTATGTAAAAATCAAAATAAAGACGTAATTTAGTTTATATAATTATAAATAACAATAATCGATAAAAAACAAAAATCAAAAACAGAAATGTAAATAATGATAATTAATTTTATCATATAAAAGTTTTAATATTTTTTTTTATAATGATGTTTAATTGATTAACTTGAGGCTTAAATAATCATGAAAAGTTTCAATAATTAATTGACCTACCTTTTTTTATTTATTTACTTGATGTTTATAGTATTATTTACTACAATTTATAAGCTTATAAATTCCTAAGTAAATGTTTTAATGACATTATTTAAATTTAATTAAAACATAAATAATATAATATACTTTTAAATTTGTGCAGTACTTTATTTGAATTATAATTTTAATTTAAATACATTTAATCTAAACCTATTTATTTTTTTGTAATGTTTTAAAAGATATTTTTAATTATGTATATAACATATCGTTAATTGACTGTTAAAACAGTATATTTTATGTTATATAAATTAAATATTAAAAACAATTGATTAAAATTATAAAGTGTAAATTACACATTGAAACATGAATAATAATATAAAATTTGAGTAACATAAACAATATCTGAAATAAACGAACTAACAAACAATGATACTTATTGCCATACTATAAATATTTTTTAAAAATTAAAAGTCATAATTACAATTTTATTTTAAAAAGATATATGTGTATAATTATGTTAAAAATAACAAGTATAAGGACACAGAACGCTCGGTTAAAACGAATGATTGTATCTATATTTAAAATATTAATAAGAATATTATAAAATAAGATTAAACTGAATAATGCTAGATGAAAGATAGTAAATAATCTTCAAGCAAATTTCTTGGAAACTCTTAAAATATTGTGTAAAGAAAGAGTTTGGTAAAGCATGATTTTGATAACACAAGTAATAGTATACTCTATTTTATAGATACTAAATACACTATTGAAAAATGAAAATACGTAACCCACTAGTTTATGCACATTATAGACATTTTTTGCAATGTTCTGCTATGATACCTTTAACTGTTTATATTACTTAGTTTCCATTAAACGACATTACTATTTCTTCTATCATATCAATATTGATGTATACTTTCGTAAGTTTTGTAAGGGAAACAAAATTTTAATTAATATTATATTCACGAAAATATATTTTCTAAATTAAATATATTTTTTTTAATATTATGATTTAATAATTGAATATAATTATTTAAAAATAAAATACATATTTTGACGAAACCAAACAAATTTTTAACGAATGTTATATTATTGTAACATATTACAATAATATTAAAACTTATATATTTATATAAAAATTTATAATTATTTTAAGTATAAATTCAAAGCAATATATGCGAGTAGTTTTAAGAAATTAATCTAACTGAAAATTAATATATGTTATTGAATTAACTTTATTAATTATACTTAATAGATGTTATCTACTATTTATTTGATCAATAATAATTTAAGTTTAAATATAAATAAATGTTTTTAATTTATATATAAACAAAGTAAATTTGATGATTATTTGTTAGTTAAGAAGATGAATAAAAATATTTCATTTTAATATTTTAATATAGCTGAAACAAATTAGTAGGAGTTAAAAAAGTTATATATTCATCGATATCCAAGTCTTCCGATTTTTTAATGTATTCTATATTCATCCTCATTCTAATACAGAATTCTTATAGTTGGAGCAATGTAGAGTAATGTAAATTATAAAGGTTTGTTACATAAATAAATTAAAATATTGGAACAAATTATTCTGGTAATAATGAAATCTAAAATTATAAATTTTTTTTTGGTATAAAATATAAGAGATAAAGTAAAAATAACGCATGACATCATAAAAAATATTATTCCCCCTCATATTTTTCATCTGCAAGTTGCCATTATTTAGCCGTTAGGCAAATAGACTGGATGTTGACACGCTATCCCTTTGCTTTTTACTTCAAAGTAGTATGCATGAAAATAAAATGGCGGGAGGAAGAGGTGATGATTGTCAAATAAAATAGAGTTCACATGATGCGCAAGTGGAGAGAAATTTAAATGAGTATAAGCAGCATATTGTACTAAATCAAGTTTAATACTATATGCAATTAATTAGCAATATCAAGTATACTTAGAAATTGAAATAATATAATTAAAAACCAAAAATTTTATTTATAGTTTTTGTAATTATTAAAATTACCTTATTATACAATATACATTATTCATTAAAAAAACTATTATTCAAATATTTATAACAAATTATAAATATATAAACAAATTATTGAAAAAAAAGTAATAATATATTATATAATATTTTATTGAAAATTTCTGTCCATGTTAGAATAATTAACAAAATTAGAAGATCTATAGCATGAATTAATTGCAATTATTAATATAAACAATAAATTTAAACCAAATAATATAAACAATTATTATATAATTAAATAATTAAATTGCTTAATGGTGCTTTAATGTCTATAAATAGTAATCATATATAATTTGTATTTCTTATAAAGAATTTATATTATAAGTTTAATTTATTACTTTATTTTTAGATAGTAGTATTAGTTATTTCTGTAATGAAGAATTAAAAAAAATTGAGTTTATTCTATACGTAATTCCCATTATATTTGCTCTGAAAAACTAATATTTCAAGGATTAGAGAAAATTTAATTAATATATACCTAACCTGATTGAAATTGCTTCTAAATTTCTTTTTGATATGAGTAGACATTAATAAAAATTGGATGATATTACATAATAGTAATTAACAGTAATTTATAATATTTAAAATTTTAATTTATAATAATATAAAATTGATAGTAATATATATAATATTTTTATATAATTAAATATTTTATCCATATTTATTGTAATAAAATATCTATTATTTTATTCATAGCACATAACAATTATAAATACGAACAAGAATATTTTTCTTTGTAATCTTTTTGAAAATTTATTATGTAACCATAAAAGTACCAAAAATAATAACGTAATTATTACTTATTATCTACATTTTAATCAACTTAAACGATTAAAATACTCGTTTTTATTAAAATTATAATTGGTTCATTTGTATTTTCTAGCTTTTTATATCATATAAAAATTTAGTACAAAATTTTATAAAATTCATTAATTAGTAATACGAAGACAAAGAATAGTACTTGTTATTTGAATTTTGTTTATACGTATTTATATTATAGAAATGAGATAACTATCAAAAAATTTGAAAATTTTTGTTTGACTATAATTTTAAATTATACTTTACTACCTTTAGCTTTAATAGTGTCAACCTAATACAAAAAATCAATAAATGAATGAACGTAACACGATGTGAGTAAAAAGTCGGCTGAGTCAAGCTTTGCAAGAAATTTCTAATTTTTGGTATAATTGAGGGTGATAAGGTAAAAAAATGGCGTTGAATTGTAAAAGACATTGAGTAGAAAACGGCAAATTCTTTCTACTAGTGGTACTTTTAATATAGTTCCCCTGTTGAAAATCCTCAATTATTGATGATTTTTAAATATTTTCATAGTTAGAAATTTTCATATAATATTCAATTTAAATGAATAATTTATTTACTATTGACTTTATAACAAATATAATAATTATATAATTTATTATCGATTCATTATTTTCCTATAAATATGAATATATAATATTAGTTATTTTGTGCTATTATAGAAATATAATATACATATAATATACATAAATATAATATAAAAATAAAAATACGAAAATGCTTAAATATTGAAATAATGTTATATGACTGAGATAGTTCTTTACGTTATTAATAATATATTTTTATGATATTTTACAATGCATCTAAATTATGTGAATCGCATAATTAAAATTTTTTTTAATTACATTACAGATATAGCATCGTGTCTGAGGAGGAATGGAAAAAACTGATGCGTTTTTATTCAGTTGATTATACGATAAAAATGCTCAAGGTGGATAAATCTAAACAATATTATACAGAACCAGGTAAATATACACTGTACCTTGCATAAGATTTAAGATAATTTTATACAGAAGAAAAGTAGTTGTTATATTTTTATGAATTGTACATAGGAACATCATAATATAGTATATTATGATTTAAATAAAATATGTTTAGATATATTTATTTATCAACTAATTATATCTAAAGTACTGTATCAAATTAGTAGATTCGATGCAGAGTAAAAGTAAAATATATATTGTTCTTAAATATATTAAATGGCAATATATTAATTTCTATACTAAAATTTTATAATCACATGTAATTCGATTGTCCCTAATTATTCCATTGGCCTAGAAATGTCTTTTGTTCTTCTGAGTCTTTATTTAATTTTTGTGCTAAATATTTATGACAAGAAATAGAAATTTGATGTGTTTGTCATACAAAAATTTTCCCTGAACAATTTCAGTTTTACACCTCATCTTTTTTACATTTCCGATTAAAAAATTAAAAATTATTGAAAATTTATCACGAAGCACATAAAATTTCTACAAATAAAAATATCACCAGGATTTAATATTTAACGCGAATTTTTTATTTCTTCAATTTATATTAAAATGTTAATTTCGTTTAATTATTAATATGTATGAATTTATTTTTTAAGGAAAATAAATACCATACTACGTAATTACTTAAATATTTTTGTATTTATTTTTTTGTGTATATTGTATAGATATGTAATATTAAATGATATTAACTGCATTATATCAATATATTAATACACAATATGTAGTAACTGTAATCATTAATTCATATTAGTTATTTGAGTTAGCCATTAAAATAATTTGTAGCTCTTAGATAAATAAGTCTTAAACCTGTACTATAAGTCTAATTTCATAGTATCATTATTGTGAGTTTAAACAAAATTTTTTTAATTTATCTGTAATTTTATATTACGTGTTTAATTTACCTGTAATTTAACATTATGTTTTTATTTCATATATAATTTATTTATTTGAATTGAGTATATATTTAATAACTTATTTGTCACTCTTAATAAAAAAATATTTACCGTAATATTAAAATTCAAAATTATTCTAAGCTACTTAAAATATTAAGTACATTATTACTAATAACGTTTTATCTTCTGCATTATTGATGCTTTATTAATTGTAAATTGTAAAATGATACATGTTGCAGAATTCATAATTGCTATTGAGAATATTATTTTACAAAAATTAAGTTTGTTTTATTCATAAGGTATTTCGAAAATGATAATTTAATCGTATAGTTATATAAATCACGAGTTAAATAAAGTTTAAAAAATTTTAAAATGATTTAATTTAAACTAAAACACTTTTTCTGTTATTTTATTTATATTTAAGTAATATGTGAATATTTGTTAATAATTAAATACAATTTTTATCTAACAAAATAACACTCTCAATATAAAAAATAATTGAATATTAGTTATATTTATTAGTATAAAGTAGTTCATTTAGAAGTAAACAAAATTGTCTTTATTAGATTTTTTGCTTAACATTTAATTATAATATACTGGTAAATAAAAAAAATTTAAAAATATTTTACTAGTTAAAAACATAGTCAAATACTTTACATTATTCCTTCAAATAATAATACAATTAAATTATAATAAAATGTAATTTGTGGATTCGTACATTTCAGTATCTGAATCATAGAGTTCTTATACATTAACCATGTACTCATTCTCGATAAGAAAAATAGGACCTTTTAAACTGTAATTTGGCCTTCCAATTACTTATCACAGTAAGTAAACTTAAATTTGGTTAGCTAAACCCTCGTAAATATCGTTTTCTCTTGACTAGTGCCCATTTATCCCACCCCATTCCTTTCAATGTCTCCCTTTCCCTGATCTCGTACGCTATATACACAAATTTGCATAAATCATGTAAGGAAATGTTGTATTACCCACACTTTAATGCATGTGTGTGTGGGTGTGTGTGAGAGAGAGTGACAGTGTGTGTTTACGCACACATGCACATTAAATTTGTGAGTGTGTAGGAGACGAAAGGAGAAAGCGAGGTAGAAAATGAGGTAAGCCAGCATGCATCACAAAACATAACGTAGTGCTCGACATCGGTAAAATTAATATTCAGACGGCCACGCTTAGATTTAGAACAGAACTTTGCAGATTAGTTTACTAAGCACTTGCATCGACCATAAATGACGACTCTATATTTCACTATTTCATTCTATTTAGTTCGATTTACTTAATCTATTTATCTAGCCTCTTATTATCTTTTCCTTATAACTTCTTTTTGCCCTTGTTAGAAAAGTAATGATTGATTGATGAATGATTAATAATCATAATTTATATAATTCTATATATTGAACAAATATTTTCTATTTTTGAAAATAGTATTAATTATACTGACCCTTAAATTATAATTTTATTTGTAAAATTAAAATAAATTATATAAAAAATAATATTATGTATTTTATAAATAACTCAAAATAATATAATTAAAAAATCTTCACGTGTACGTGAAAATACTGTGGTAGAATAAATCAAAAGACGAAAAAGTTTATCCGCTTAATGAAAATTGTACTTAAATTTCAAAAATTAGTCTGGAGGATAAATTAGTTTCCTCTTCGAAAGGAAATTAAAGCGATATTTTCAACGTTATTCTTATAAAACAAATATTCTTTACGTTTCATAACAATGTCTCCGGTTATAAAGATTTTGAAAGTTTATTTTATATTTTTCCTACTGCAATAAATAAGCTTTTTGTCAAGAACCGATTCTTCTTAACCTGTTTTTTCCATCATTTAGTATCCAAATAGAAATAAGAAATAATAAAAGTAAATGCATTTATATAGTAATATTTATGTTTATTAATACTAATAATTATTATAAAAAATCTTATTAAAAAAATCATGAAGAAGTTAAAATGAAAAGTTAGTATTATAAGTTGATATTTGAGAATATTTATACAATTGAAAGTAAATATAATTTATTGTATATACTTTTTCACTATAAGATATATTTAATTGACGAATTTTTTAAGTAAACTTAAAATATGAAAGATTAACCATAAATCTGTTGACATTAGACATTCTAAGAAGATTAAATTTAGTCTTTGTTGTGGTTTCACTTGAAGACATTCATTAGTAGATACAATTTACGGTTATTCTATTAAAACATATTTCTTGTCAAAGACTACATTAATACATAGTATACTTAGATTTTTTACTGTAATCATAAATATTAACTATTATATATTAATACATTTAGAAACAATCTACAAATAATCAACTATTTAATAATATTTTGTATACAGTGAATTGAAGACATATTTATTTTGAAATAAACAAATTTCAATAGATTTAATTATTTTTATTTAATTACTTTTATATTATTATCAAATGTAATTGCTTTAACGACATTATTGTAATTAACAATTTGAATAAAAAAGAAAGAAAGATACTAATATTTTTTTCTAAGGATATAGATATTGTAATTACATTTGAAGTATATTTTCGCAATTTTAGTGTTATATATGTTATGAATTAATATGATTGTTTTTTTAATGTTTCACACATATTAGCACTTGTATAGCTTATTTCATAATGCGTTTTTTATTATGATTGAAGGCCAAATATTACCAAACTATAAAAGATATAATAACTAATAACATATTCTATCTCTTAACCTTTCTTATAAAATATTTTAGTGTATCAGAAAGCGATTATAATTACTTTTATATTATTTAATCATTTCATTACCAATCTATAAACGTTTTCTTTTTGATCCTTTGTTTTCTTATTAAATTTTTCATTTTTTCATTTTTCTGTTCTTTCTGTCTTTTCCGGTGAAATAGTTGGTAAATTCATCATGTATATCTTTGGACTCTAGGGAATTTTTGCTGACAATATTTCTTTTCCTTATCTTATACGTGATCAATTGTTTGAATGAATCAATGATGTTAATTTGGTTAGTGTAAATAATACGATTTTCTTTTTATTTTATTAATTTATCACCATTCATTAACAGCCAACTCTATATATATCACGCCAATTGTATTTAGTATTGGATTTTTAAATGAACATCACCTAATTAATAATAATTAAATTCATAGTTTTAATTATTTAATAAATCCTACTTATAAATAAAAAAATGTATTTTAAACAATTTATACAATTATTTATTAAAAATTTATAATTTATTATTTGTCTCCACAATTATACTTATGTTAAAAGATTATTTAATCGATTTTTCTTTTATACTACGTAATAGTTTTATTGAAGTTAATGTATATATTATTACTCTTCTTAATGAATTTGTCATTATTTCTACGTACCAGCATCATATATGATTTAATTTCTTCATATGTTCATTCAATAAATAGAGTATGGTAGTATGTATTAATTAATTTTTATATAAGCCTATAAGAACTTACACAAAATTAAACAAAATTAAAAAAATTTGTTAATTTTTAAGTATATATTAATAACCTACCTAAATAAAACAGTAGTGCTTTACACAGTATATCTGTTTCTATTGTATAAAATCCTTCTTTTTAATATTGGAATCAGACAGAATAATAACTTTATTGTTGTAGTAACATTTGTAGAGAACAATGAAACTTCATATAATAAAATGAAGCATTCTATAATTCTAAAAGAGTTACGCAGAAGACTTCTAAATATAAGCAAGGTTATCTTGTAATATAGAAAGACAAAGGGTAGCATCTTATCTATTACTGGTTAGATAAGAAATAATATAATCATTCTTTGATAAGGTTCGTTATCATTTTTATGATAAAATGCTAATGTAAGAGAATACATTATTATTCTAATATATAAAATGTAACTTTTTTTTATACGAATCATTATTTTTCATATTATTGAAATATAAAACATGTAATAAGTAGATAAAATAGTTTTATGTAATAGTTTTATGAAAATAGCTGTCTAATAATTAATATATATTTGTTAATGATTATTCAATATTAATGTTGTATACATTATTTATTATTTATAAAAATATTTGTGATAAAAT